GGTAACGAATTTCAATATGACCCTGAGGCAAAAGTGTTTCAATTTATTTTTCTGCATAACACATTTTGTTTTCAGATTTTTCAGAATTTTTTTTTTTGCTTTTTTTCCGTACGTACAGCCTGTACGACCACATGAGCCCGTACGTACGTACGTACGTACGGCCCGTATTCGTACGGGGGTCTACATAGTGTTTTGGTGCCTTTTTCTCTCTTTTTTTTTACGGCGCCGCGCATGCAAAGCTTTCTCCTCTCTGTCCCCCGCATCGCTCCCTCCCACTCTCCTTTCCCCTTCTCCCTCCTCTTTCTCTCGCCCCGTAATTATTTTCTTTCTCTCGCTCCCTCTCCCGCCTTGCTCTCTGCGCGCCCCTTTTCCTTTCTTGATCATCTGAATCTTGGACCCGTCTTGCGCCACTTATCGCAGTGGTGGGAGTTAGCACGCGGCGGCCAGGATCGTCGGTGCGGGTATGAGGATCGATGATTGGAGTTGAGTGAGTTATTGGCTCGGGGCCATATTGGAATTAACGGCGAATGCGCCTTTGTTGTTGCGGATCTTTCTTTATGAACTTCGTTCTTTTGGGTTGCGTCATCTCCTATCTAGACTCTCTCCCCCCTCACCTTCCCCTTCTCCTCTATCTTTGAATAATGATGTGTCTCGATGCTTCTCTCCCTCTCTCTCTTTCCCTCTTCTGGATGAGCATGAAGTTGTATGCTTTCCTTGCGTGAAAGAACTTCTTCCGGAACTCTTCCATTAGTCTCCGGGGTAATACTCTTGCGCAAGGACCCCGTCTTCTTGTCTTGTGAACGGTGGATGCGTGTGTATTGTGCAAGCGATCCATCTTTTCCTGTGCATGGCTCCTTTTTCGCATCTTCCATAGTGAATGAATGTATGGAAATATGCGTCTCTTTTGTGTTGATTAGACGATTGTTGTCGGGATTTTGTCCGAGAATGCAGGAGTGTTTAGATCTGTAGCTCTGACTGCACTGCGCATGCCATCTGCCTTATGTTGTCCGACATCAGCAGCCGAACCACGAGACGGTCTCGAGAAACAAGGCGCCGGGGATCAATTTCACTCTCTCTCTCTCTCTCTCTCTCTCTCTCTCTCTCTCTCTCTCTCTCTCTCTCTCT